ACAACGACCTGTGTGTGACGGGCGCTGTTGTAGAGGCGGCGACAGCAGAACATTCTCTCCCCGATGTCGCACGATATACAAAGGTGCGCTGAACAGGCGAGATGGAGATGTGTGGTGTGTGTGTGTGTGTGTGCGTGCGTGTGTGTGTGTGTGTGTGTGTGTGTGTGTGTGTGTGTGTGTGTGTGTGTGTGTGTGTGTGTGTGTGTGTGTGACGGGTGGGTGTAGAACATGAAATCAGCCACTAACATGACATACTCACACACACACACACAAATACACACAGGCCTTCCCTGGCATCAACGACATGTTTGAGATTGTTGAGCTGCCTGCGGACGTGAGCGAGCAGCTGGTGACGGCGATCTGCGTCGACGCCGTCGGTGCGTTCGTCATTGATCGCGCAGCGGACTGGCTCTTCCCCGCGTCATACCCGACGCTGCCCTCAACAGTGGCGGCCTAGCAGGAAGCCGCTTGTGGAGATGTGTGTGTGTGTGTGTATGTGTGTGTGTGTGTGTGTGTGTGTCAGAAGTAAACAACTTGCTGCTTTGGTTGAGTGTCACCTGTTTGCTCACGCCAATTGTTGGCGTTTAGCTGAAATCTCCGGAGAATTTTCGGACACCTTTTGCCAAAGAAGAAGCAGAACAAAGCAAACGAGCGAGCGAGGATGGTGGCGGGGCGCTTGTTGTGTGTGCGGCGGGGTGGTGCGGGTGTCTTGAGGAACAGAGGTGCTGCTGTGGTGGGCCGGGCAGAGCGTCATCAGTGGAAGCGGTGCGCGTGCTTGCGTGTGCCACAGCGGCCATCGTCCACCACCGCTTGTGCGCAACACAGGCAAGCGCGGCGGCAGCACCACCAGCCTGCTGATGACGATGTGAACAAAGCTGCGGCCTCATCTGGACCTGCGCTGCACGAGGCGGAGGAAGAGGATGGCGGTGTTCGGGAGTGCATTCGCTCGATCGTGGACAACGGTGAGATGAAGGCTGTTGGCGTCACGCCCGGTCTCTTCACCAACATGCGGCTGCTCTCGTCGGACGGCTTTCCTGTTATCGAAGAGGTGTGCGTGTGTGTGCGCGTGTGTGCGTGTGTGTATGCGTGTGTGTGCGCGTGTGTGCGTGTGCGTGTGTGCGTGCATGCGTGCGTGTGTGAACGTACACTTTTGTGTGCGTGTGTGTGTGTGTGTGTGTGTGGACGTACACTTTTGTGTGTGTGTGTGTGTATGTGTGTGTGTGTGCGATCTCCTGCCGTGCCCGATCTCTTGCCGTGTGCCCTGCGCTGGTGTTTCTTCGCTTCAGTGTTTCTTAAGTTCACTTGCCTCACCTTGAAATGACTTCCTTCCTTCCCCTCCTCTTTGCCTCCTCTTCCCTTCCTCCTCACCCTCACCTCAATCGACTCCAACAGGAGGCGCGAGCGCACATGAACGCCTTGGTGCGTGAGATGAAGGACAATCACAGCCGCGGGCATCACGAGAAGGCGCTGGAGAGCGTGGATCACATCTCTCACGTGTTGTGCAAGGTGTTGGACCTCTGCGAGTTTGTTCTGCAAGTGCATCCGTCTGCTGAGTATCGCGACGCCGCCGCCAACTCCCTCTACTCCCTCGGCCACGACATGGAGGTCCTCAACACGGACGTTGGTGCGTACATGTTCGTGAGTGTTGAGTGTGTATTATATGTGGTGCGTGTGTGTGTGTGTGTTGTATGCGCGTGTGTGGTGCATGTTTGAGTGGAGAAGCGTGTGCTCTCCGCGTGTGCACGTGCTGTGCATATGTGCACGTCAACGCGTACGTCTATGAACACGCATTCCCCATCTCTTTCCTTCCTGGCCTTGCTTGCTCGCGTGCATCGCTTTGATTCATTTCCAGCTTGCATGCTGTCTCGCCCCCTTGCCAACCCTTCCCCTCTTCACAGAACTGTATCAAGCACTCAAGGCCTTTGAGGACATGCCATCAGCTGTGGAGGTGAGCGAACCCCCTGTTTGAACCACGACGCACAACAACACACGGCACATTGGGTTGACGCACGACGCACACTCATCTCTGCGTTGCTCACGTGCCTCACCTTCTCTTTGGTAACTTCACAGCAGGGCCACGAGACGCAGTACACAGCACGCAGCCTCCTCCACGACTTTGAGAAATGCGGTGTGTGTGTGTGTGTGTGTGTGTGTGTGTGTGTGTGTGTGTGTCGTCGTCGTCGTCGTCGTCGTCGTCCGTCCGTACCGTCCGTACCGTACCCGTACCCGTACCCGTACCCGTACCCGTACCCCGTACCCGTACCCC